TACTCATGAGGAAGTAGAATGCATTTACAGACACACCAATATTGCTCGTAATACTAATATCATTCTTCCTTAGGGAAGTTTCATACATGTTTATTTCCACAACACAGTTCGTTTTTTTTGTTTTGACTGTGTTCACTGGAGCGGAACATGATGGATTGCACCTGTATTAGTCTTGATCAGAAAACAGTTGTACCTGATGGAGCCTTGACCAAATATCTCATGTTCCATGCTAATGACTTCATTATGAGACTTGTCATTTATGTATTTACTGAGATGGATTACAGTGTTCACCATTTGAGGAGATCAGGATAGAAAAAGTACTCACAACCCTAGCTGTTTTCATGGGGATTTGTCATTCAATATCTGTTTTTAATTTCAGGCTTGCATGAGTGGGACATGTTAAAAAATCCAGAAGTAGATGACTTTCGTCGCAATAATCGTCGCATATGCATGACTATCCAACGTGACCGTGCATCATGGGAATGGGAAAAGAAAGCAACATATTTGTTCCCACCTCAAGTTGGAGCATCCATAGATATGCCTGACAATATGAGAAGAACCTTGAAGGCCAACAACAACACATTCTATGCAAACATCATCTTTAGCACAAGCAAGGTGAGGATTGTTATACTTACAGACCATTTTCTCAAAAGTAGTCCAGTTAAAAGTTATCCATTCAGCATATTTTTCTTTCTACTGTTTCCCAGTCCAATCAGCAGTCAGTACTCTCTGCTGATGCCTACGAGTATCCATCAGACCTCATCAAGCGAGCCATTAATAAGATGCGTCAGCCTTCTGGTCAAGAAGATTCCTATGTCATCAAAGTTCGAGGCAAAGAAGATTATTTGATGGGCAACTATTCCCTTAGTCAGTTTACTGTAAGATATGATTGACAATTCAGCCAGTATTCAACACTGATTGTACCTGATTACTGTCAAGTTGTTCTATCTGTACAAGGAAATCTTTTTAATACTTGGTACCACCTCTTTGTCTAGAAATAGCATTGCATATGCAGAAATCAGTGATTTGAACCAGAGGAAGTGACCTTTAGTTCGGCTAAAGCACTTCCATTTGCTTGGTCATGTTCTTTATTTAGATTCAGCAGATGCCTGTTTTGAATTTATTTCTAATACTGATGAGTGTGTTTTATCTCCTCCAACAGTACATCAGGAATTGCATCAGCAAAGACATCAGACCAGAACTCCTGCTTCTTCAAAAGGCAGACATGAAAGTGGATGAAAACTTTGTCAATCCAATGTTGACGGCTCTTTTACAAAAAGAAGAAGAATCCCCCTCCATCCCACCCAAGAAAGGAAAGACGTTAAGCTGGGACATTCTGGACAAAGTCATAGTATCATTCCATGGAGCAACTAATGTGAACATCATTGACAGAGCTTGGGTTGGTATTGCTAAGACAATTCTTAATAGCCCATTTGCTATGAATTATGCAAACAAGTACTGGAAATTGCCTATGGTACACAAACGAGCTACAGTACTATCACGACCATACTTGTTCTAAGAGAGATTCTGAGCTGGTCATGTATAACGACTGAACTAAGTCTAACTATGGTCTTTTTACTCATGTGACCTGTAAGGTTGCTAGGACCAGCCCAAAGATAAATCTCAAATCTTTCTCCTTGAACATCTTCCCAGCTACAAGTCCGTGCAGGCGTCTACCATGGAGGAGAGAAACTTTGTCCAAACTTTCTGTCCAGAGAGGCAGAAGGACCAGATCCTGTGTGGAATGATGAATATATGGCTGACATTGAAGTTTGTAACTTACCTCGCATGGCGCGACTCTGCATTCTCATCTGTATCAACAGTAAGAAGGGAAAAGTGTCCGAAAAAGGAAAGAAATCTTCCAAAAATGTCAAGAAGGTAATTTACATGTACTTGGCTTCCTCCTTTTTGAATTCCTTTTTGAATGTAACTGGCATTTACGTGTACCTGTGTTAGCCTTCTCTGTTGATACATTTTACACCTGATGCTATTTCCATTAACTTATGAACAGTTGCCTTCTTTTTATTTATTCCCTCCACAAAACCATGCAGTTCTTGTGCAATATGTACATGTAAGGCTACATGTACTATATATAGGAAACTTGTATATGGCGTGATAGGTTTTGTCAGTTCTGGGACCAGACTGTTAATACATCTTACTAAATTGACTTATCAACATTCATATACACTTTACTGAAACAAGGAGCTCTTTAAATATTTTGGTCTATCTACAGAATCATTGAAGGATTTGTGAGGCATGCTGCCCACATCTTACACATAGCAGAAACCACAAGTCTTTCCTTTGCAACCAGTGGTTCCTAATTCTACCATCTAATTATAAATTCAAATGGTTTTATTCTTTTCATGATTGATCTCTGTAAGCAGAATGACATTCTTCAAGCATTTGTGGTTCTTTCTACTCAGGAACTGATTCCCTTAGCCTGGGTCAACACTACCTTCTTTAACTATCAGAACAATCTTCAGACTGGTAGGATGAAATTTTACATGTGGCCAGCGTCAGAGGATTTTGATTTGAATCCATTGGGATGTGTTGGTTCCAATCCAAACCATGATGATGCGACAGTGATTGAGTTATCATTTCATTCCTACAAGGCAGCACATAAGGGGACAGTGTCCTATCCTCCATTTGATACAGTGCTGGAGAGAGCAGCTACCATTGCAGCAAATGAGGACACATATCTAACACATGAGTCCATTAATGTAAGTTCAGTGTAATGTTTCTACTCAAAAGTCATTTTTGTCCTGAAGAATTCGAAGTCATCCACATGTTTGAACATATGGATATCATGAGTGGTTACAGCTGTATATCATAAGGTGTGTGATGTTGTTTTGAGCAAGAAGCACATTGTTAAATAGATCTTACCTAAGCACTTAATAAGTTTTTGGTGTTAGAATGTTAAAGTATAGATGCAGCAACAGCAGTTACCAAAGTGTGGACTATCATTGTGCTAGTTTATCTTGCCGTGACTACCAGGAGACTCTTTTCTGTTTTGTAGGACCAGAAACTTGAGGAGTTACGTATGATGGTTGAGAAGGAACCTCTTGAACCTCTGAGTGAACAAGAGATCACAGATCTGTGGAATGCAAGACAAGATTGTAGGGATCACATCCCACACTCCTTACCACGGCTGCTCACCTGTGTACGATGGTCAGACAAGGATTGTGTCGCTCAGGTATATACATGTACAGAAAACTTTGCCATTTTGAAATGATTTGAACCTACTGTTTTTGCCCTTCAAAAGCTACCATATCAACCTAGAATGTCATACCTCTGTCTTGGATACTGTCTGTTAATTGGCCCAGAACGATCACATGACAGGGCGACATATCCACATATCACACTTACCGTGAGACGTCTCATTCTACCGACGGCACGTGTACACGCGCATGTGCACGAAACAGAAGAGCTTCGGGAAGTTCAAGAACGAACATTTGCGGTCCTTTAGTCAGTTTTGCGTGGTACCCATGATACGTTTTGCGCATAGGCTACCAGGGTATTCGATTAATGATTGCGCTCATATAACAGACTCTTTCCAGTCCCCGCAGTGTATAAGGTAATGCAGTTACCACTAAACAGACTATTTAAATATACTCACCGGTACCCGCACTAGTTTCACATTAGCATTTACGCTCTTAAGGAAAGGGAGGGGACAGTGCATTTGGAAACGATATCGTTTACGTACATTAATTGTACAGTTTCACAGTAGGCCCATTGTCTTCTGAAATTCAGACCTCTTTTCTTTGGACAAATTCCTTAAGACAGAGGTGTGACAAAACAATTGTTTACCGCTTTGGTGTGGGATTTGATGTTGTGAACACCCTCAGGTACACATAGCGGGGCCCTATGCCTCTCCCGGGTGTTCAAAACGTCATATCCCACACCGCAGCAGTCAACAGTTGTTAAATGTCAGCCACTGGAAACTGAGAGTTTGTACTGCCTAACAAGTGCCATTGATGTGACAGTTTTGAAAGCATACCATTTCTAAAACCAGGTCACTTGTCAATGAAATGGAATCTCTGTAAATGTTGTTAAAATTTGCTGTTTTTCTGGTGACCATCAGTCTTGACATTCAGTCTGTTGAGTCATGAACAGGTGATAGGATGTTATATTAATTCTTAAAATGTGTCACATTGCTGATCCCATAGATGCAGGCACTTCTTCAAATTTGGCCAGAGTTGAAGCCAGAGGAGGCAATGGAACTTCTAGATTATCGTTACCCTGATCTCTCTGTTCGCAAGTTTGCTGTGGAATGTCTCAGCAACTTGGTGTAAGTTGAAACAAATTCTGTGTTATTGTGCATTAATTTTTATATTTCATTTTACATATACTCGGTACTTTGATATCTTACATGGTCGTTGGATTAAAAAAAAACCTACCCTGTAAATAAAAATTATAAGTAATCCTATTTCCAAATATTTTAATATTTTAACCCCTTCACAGTGGGATTCTTTTGACCGCGGCTGCTGGGCTGCGGTATGCCCAGTATGCCAAGCCCTGTTCAGCAGCAGGCCCACGTTGAAACCACAGGTGCATGATGAATAGAATGTGTGTGGTATCCACTTATCCTCCCACTGAGCCGCATTTGCCGTCTCCCAACACAAAAGGAGATGGCAAATCCCAAGCTGATCCATGAAGCAAAACTCCAATTTCTTTTGATTTATGACATTCTATACTAATTACATGTATTTCTTTTGGGGATTTTACTTGTTTTGTTTTGTTTCTGTCAGGGATTCTCAACTTTCTCAGTACCTACTTCAACTTGTTCAAGCTCTCAAGTATGAAACTCATCTAGACTGTGAACTGGGCCAGTTTCTTCTCAGGAGAGCATTGGCCAATCAGAGAATAGGACACTTCCTATTCTGGCATCTCAGGTGAGATATTTACGCATGTATTCTAGTACAAACGCTTTTATTGGTCATATCTTGCACACCTACCCACAGTGAGTATGATACATATGCAAATGAGCAATAATACAGAGTTATAGTCAGTAGCATGATGGCTTTGCTTTGTGATGAAGTCCCCAAACTTGAGATTCATGCTGCCTAACTTGGCTTTCAGTTTGTTGAAGCAAGTGACATAGTTGTATCATTTCTGTGTGATGAAGTTGAGCTTCTCTTTCGATTTCTTGTAGAGCTGAGATGCATCAACCTGCTGTGTCGACTCGTTTTGGGTTGATGTTAGAGGCATACTGTCGGGGTAGCATTGCCCATATGGCATCGCTCATCAGACAGGTGAGATGGTAAAAGCATTACCTGTATGTTGAAGCTGTTAAAATGGTTATAATGTTACGTAACCGTGCATTTGAGTTTAGAGACTTATCTTTTTCAGCATTTAAGAGTGCTCATATGATACAATCTTTCCTCTATTCACAGGTGGAGAGTCTGAACAAGATGCGATCTGTCAATGAGTTGATCAAGTCAAGACAAGCCAAGCAGCAAACAAACAGTGAACTCCAGACAATGATGAGAGACATTCTGAATCAGGAATCCTACAATGAAGCATTGTCTAACTTTGTCTCACCGCTCTCTCCATCTTACAAGCTTAAGGGCCTCAGGTACTGACCAAGATTAACCCCCTAAATCTTGTCTTATTTATTCCAGCAAGCTTCCTCATCCCCAACACTTTAAATAACACCTGATGTTCCTTTTATTTGGGTATCAAACCTCAGGGTAGTGCACTGATGCTTGGACTTGATTATACAGTCTCTCTAATGGTTTGTCTTGATAATTTGGTATGAATGTATTTCTCTCTTTCCAGGCTTGAAAAATGCAAGTTCATTTCATCGAAGATGCGCCCACTTTGGCTGGTGTTTGAAAATGAGGATCCAGCTGGAGACAATGTCTTTCTCATGTTCAAGAATGGTGATGGTATGTTTGTAAAGAAACCCCAACTTTCCCATGCTGTCATTCAGTCATTACACCTGCCGCTTAACACAAGTCCTTATTTTTTCAGTCGGCAAACGTGTGCATAACTCTATGTTTATACAGCTAGTTACATTCAGATTTTCAAATGAAGATCGCAGAATATTCCCCCAAATGTGAGACGGTTTGCATGGATACATATTCTATTGATAATTTGGAAATAATTTTCTCTTCTGATGAATTGAATAGTGACACTGTTTTCTGTGAGTATTGTATTACTGTGCTGACAAAATAATTTTCAAACTTACTTCCTTTAGATTTGCGACAGGACATGTTGACACTACAGGTGATGCAGATCATGGACAATATCTGGCAAGAGGAAGGGCTCGATTTAAGGTCAGTGACCTTTCTGGTTTGAAAGATTGAATTCGTCTTGTCCTGCGGCATGCATATATCTTATGTGGTTGAAAACTTTAAATAAAGGCAAGGAGATCAGCAGTATTTTTTCAACTATTTGGAACATAATCCAAAACAACTTATCCCTTCTTTTGTTTTCTTTAGGTTAATTCCATACCGAACCTTAGCAACAGGAAACAAGATGGGGATGATACAGGTTGTCACAGAAGCAGAGACAATTGCTAAGATTCAACAGAGTGACGGATCCAACAAGTTCAATGCTACTTTCCGCAAGGTGGCACTGTTCAACTGGTTGAAGAAGCATAACCCCACAGAAGCTCAGTAAGTTTCTGTGTTAACAGTCCAAAACTCTCCCCACAGACCAACAGGGGTCAGCCAGCGGTAGGATTGAGGTGTTCAGGTTTGAAGCCGAGACTCTTGATTATCACGTTAACAGTCCACTCCACCAGCACAAGCACTGGTTGGTTAAGTCATCATATTTGTGCCTCAGTTGACCTTACATGTCTTGGTTTCCTTTCAATGTATATGTAGGTCTTAATCTATACATACAGATACCTTCCCATACTGCCTCAGCACTGGTTATCTGGAGTCATCAAGGAAGTAATACATTGTAATACGTTGTATTACATTGTATTCAGTAGTAATGGATGGAGTATTGTTTTCAAGTGACAAAGATACATTTACAAATAATTGCAAAACCATGTTTGTGGGTTGTAGTTGGTGGCTTGCTTTGCTTTAGACCTTGGCTGTAAAACATAATGAGACTCCTCAGAAAGTGAGGATTAATTTGTTGAGTTGCTGTTTACTCGCCCCTCAGACATGTGACAGCTAATTAGTTAATTGTACTTCTTTGAACCCTAGGTTTATTCGTGCCATTGAAGATTTCACCCTATCTTGTGCTGGTTATTGTGTTGCAACCTATGTGCTGGGTATTGGTGACAGACATAACGATAACATCATGGTCAAGAAAACTGGTCAGGTATGGCACCAAGATCATTTACTGCAGATAGGCTTTGTCCACTGAACTCTCTGAGTGGGCCTTCCAAGGAATTAATTTGAAGTTCGAACAACACTGATGATTCCGATGGTGTAATTGCACATTTAAAGTTTTTTGTATACTTTTGCTGTTTTTACTGCAAAAACCTTCCCTTCATAAATTTCAAATTATCTCAAAAGTGTTGCAGATGACAAGTTAAACACACCCACAAAGACTAGTCACAAAGGTACATGTTGTATGATAATTTGATCTCCCTTGCATCGATTTATTTCTTGTATAGCTCTTTCATATTGACTTTGGTCATTTCTTGGGCAACTACAAGCGAAAGTTTGGATTCAAACGAGAGCGAGTACCATTTGTGTTGGTACACGATTTTGTTCATGTCATCACCCGTGGTAAGGGGACAAGCACAACCACAGAGTTTGAAACGTGAGTATGTTGATAAGGCTTTCTAGTTTGGAATATTATTGAACAGTTACCATACCCTTTTGGTTGAGGAGGCATTTATATTGTCACATTCAAGTTTGCTACCGTACAACAGGTACGTCTGATGTAATCAACCTGATCTAGGTACACGTAGTCATATCATAGTAATTTTCATGCAAGCTTTCAGCTTTCATTCGGCCTATGTTTTGCTGTCATTGAGACACAATGTGTTAGGAGAGTTTTGAACATTAATTTATTGTCCCCCCGCCGGTAGGTTCCGCAAGTGCTGTGAGCAGGCCTTCATGATTCTTCGTCAACGAGGTAACCTCTTAATCAACCTCTTTGCCATGATGCTATCAAGTGGTATCCCAGAGTTGTCAGATGAGACCATTAAGTACCTCCGAGACACCTTGGTGCTTGATCGTAGTGATGAGGAAGCACTCAAACATTTCAAAGGCAAGTTCACAGAGGCACTCAAGAACAGTTGGAAGACAAGTCTAGATTGGATGGCACACATCATTGCTCATGCTCGAGACTAAAGAATGCTGACTACAAGGTTTACGACCAGCAGTTGATTGATGCCAAGTCCTTCCTTGTCATCGCAACGAGATTAATATTTTAAGCAACTTTCTGAAAGTTGCCATTGGATCTGTATTGTCATTTCTGCTTATGTTTATAGAAGGTGCCTAAAAGCAGTTGTGTTGCACATGGAAGACTACATTCAAACGTTTATTGAAGATTGCTGTTCTAGCCTATAAAGATTGTACAGGGCCTACATAACAGCTTAGAAATAGTCAGTTCCAATATTGTAAATTGAGTGAGTCCAAGGTTGTAGATAAACTTGGTAATGTACTTCATTGCTTGTCCAAATGAATGGATGGATTACATAGCATGGTATATTAAACTACACTTACATGAAGCTACATGTATGTCATATCCAACATTGTACAGTATCATTTTTGTTAATTTTCTGTGTTTGTCTTTGTAGATCTTCATAAGAAATAGTTCTAAATTTATTATTTTGTGATATAATTTTTGTGTCAGAATTGCATGTTATACTATTTTCCTTTTTTGTATTTTGACAAAAAAGCATATATTTTTGTGTGTTTGTCAGGGATCGACGCACTCAGATTTTCTCGTGCTGATTCCATGAAAACACTCTACTGACTCCTGTGCAATGTATCAGACAATTTTGTACTTTATTATTTTGTAATATGCCTGTATATTTCTTTATTTCTGAATTGTTGCTGATTCTTTGTGCTTGGCTTTTTTATACGTGACCCTTTCAGCCCCACACCAGAGGAACAGTAAACCAAGAATAAATACTGTGAACAATATGGCACCATCTCTTGGCAAAACTGTTGTAATGAGTATGGCAGTTTTCTGCAAAGTTGTGAAAATCATAAGCATTTTTCAACATGGGTGAGATACAGCCATGTGCACCAAAAGCTTTCAGTCAAGTTAAATTGCCAACAAGTTGTTTGACTTCAGAATGATACAAACCTAGACCAAGATATTACTTCTATTGTTAAACCTGTGAGTCAGGGACCTGATCTTGTAAAAGGAGGAACGTGAAAGCATGGTGTCAGTTTGCACTTTTAAGTACATTCATTTTGTTTACTTCAGATTGAGTGCTGTCAAAGCTCGCAAAGTTTACGAAATTGGAAACGGTCTTTGACAGAGCCACACACCAGTGGCTATTATGTGTATTTAGGATATGAACCGTTTTCATTGTGAAGTCTCTTTAACACCTCACCTGTTAAGTCATATTTAAGCAGAAAATTGTCAATTCCTGTCAGAAGATTGTGAACAGAACAACGAGCAATGAACCAACCAAAAAATATATATTTTTGTACAGGAAAAAGGAGAGCTATGTGATAAAAAATATTCAACGAACAGCATTTATAGGTTTAAGGTATCAAAATTTTGTACTGTAATGTTTCTTGGCAGCAGTGTTTGTATATTTTCAGCTGTCGGTGTTTTGATACTCAATTTAAACTCAATTATGAAACTAATATAAGCAGTTTTTTTCACTTCTTAAGGCGCACCAGCACCTTTTTTTCTTAAATGGTGCTTGAACTAGAGGTGTGTATTATGCTGTTCTATATTATAAAATGCCATGTTCGATGCCAGAGAATGCAGAGACCATTCCAAGGCTAGTATGCAACTATATGGTTAAAGATTGCCATAAAATACAGTCAAGCGGTGCTTTTAAATATTAAAGACACTGGAAAGTGCCAGTCGTGCGCAGCAGAAATGGATGGTAAAATATAGCTCTATATTTGGCTCAATGTCTACAGGTATTGTAATTTTCATGATCATTGGTCTTCGAACAAAAATGGTCGCTATCTTATTTGCTCTACTATATGTCAAATATATTTATATAAATACCCAAATGTTTTTAAGGTTTAAATCGATTTCTCCCCATCAGCTTATTTGTTGCATGGAATAACCCCAAGCAAAGCTTTGCTTAGCAGAAGTCTTAGCCTGAACAAGCTTATGCTTAAAGTGTGCTTGGTGTTTTTTGTGCTTTGTTTGTTTGTTTTTTATTTGTATTGATGTTGTTAGTGTTTTTTTTTAAACTAAATTATGGTTGTGCCTTCTTTGCTGTAACAAGTCACTGTTTTGCATCAATGGGAAAGATTTAACAGGGAACATAGCTTGAAACATAACTATGTCATTCCAGATTGTACAGGATCCCCTTTTTTTGCTGTACATGTACATGGTTTGAAAAAAAATCCTGAAGGAAAATTTCCTATTTAGGAAGATTTTGTTTTCAGGTATAGCGATTTGTAATATAATTTATTCGGCTGATTAAACAGATATACATGTGAATTGTAAGCCCATTTTAGGACACCATTTCATGAGACTGCAATGGAGGTAGTGTCAATGCTATCGTATTTTAGTCCTTACCTTACGTTTGTCTTAAGTGCACGCTTGGATATCTTTCTGGCTGTCCCCGTGGCCCGTGGTTGGTTCATTTTGGAGTTGGGCGTTCAGTGTTCTGCTGTACAAATGCATGGTATCACAAACTCTCGGCATTTTCTTTGTATATTTCATTTCATGTAAAAATCATTGAGCATTCAAGATACAGTGATTGAGTACAGTACTGGATTTAAGATTTCAACTTCTGCTAATTTATCAGATAGTAAAAATGATTAAAAAAACATTCAAGCTTGGATTATAAGTTATTTAAATTGTTCCTAAGCTGACCAGGCCGGTTATGATATTTGGATTACTGGAAACGATTGTTGGATATTTAGTGTCTCCATAATTTTAACCTGGATATAAAGACTGTCTCTTTATAAAAAGGGATGCTAACGTTCCTTTTATATACGAAAACCACCATCTCAAACAATCATGTATGTACATTGTTTTGTGAAGAAGTTCTCGTGATGAATAGTTAATGTACAATATGATAAAGGAGAAGCAGTAACTTTTATTAAAATTGTTTAGTTACGTGAAGAGTTTTTTCTTAAAAAACATGCAGTTGATTTTATTGCCCAAATGATTTGCAGAAATTGATGAATGCAATGTTGGGAAGCTCAGTACAGACGCTATGTGACCAACTCTTTCAAAGCAAACAGGTCCTGAAAAACAAAATGAGATGACCCAACATATCGGTGTGTCTCTTGCAGCACGCATTAGCAATAATGACCCTGTAGACACCAGATATGGGCCGTTTTCCAATACTCAACTTGGGCTCCGTCTCAGGTTTCAACTGGTTTTTCTTACTTCCTGACTTGGAGGTTGTAAGCGCAATAGTAAGTCTGATAGTGCCAAAAAAGATCAAGTAAGATGCAAAAGAGCCAAACATTACAGTATTTCAACTTAACTTAAACGCTTCAGGCCCACAATGGAAGTTGAGTATTGGAAAACGGCCATGGATTAGTGCAGATATGGGCATGACTGATGCATCACGCGACAGAGACGAACGTGTACATTGAAGGAAGTCGAGCGTGATTTTTTTCTCCCATGAGGTTTCGTATTATGAGTCCTGTGAACGTTATAACTAGTGCAGAAAACCTCAATACTGTGAAAGCTGTTTCAACTTGCGCCGTATGGATGGTTAACATGAGCCACATAAAAATGACATAGGAGTAGGCCCCTTGTCCAACATTTGAGAAAATACCACCACGCTGTTGGCATGTATTCCAGCAGGACCTTTGTAATGTCTGCGAAGCCAGTTTACACCGGATTTACAGTGTGTGTATGGAACTGGAGTGTTGTTTTACCTGTGTAGTTTTGTTTGGGTTTTGGTGAGTTGTGACTTGGTTGGTTGTTAGAGGGTGATTGTTTCTTATTTATTGGTTGCTTTCATGTTTAGTTTTTCGTTCACTTTATTTTTTTTTTTCAGTTCTGTTTGATTTATTTCCGCAGACGTTTTCTAACTTTAGTGCGAGCCCTCTGATCTACAATGTAAGTTTCCTTTTCGACAGACCTGTTGGCATCAATATGGGAGTTTCTTCGTTACGGACTTTTGTAATTTCTTCATGAGTAAGCTGTCTTGAACTTTAGCTTGAAATTAGGAGAACAATCTTCAGTTATTCCTTGAAATTTATAAGACTTGAAGTCTTTTATGTTATTATAAAAGAGCTTAGTTTCGTGGAATGTAGAACGAGACTTGGTTCTGTCCTTGTAATTCCTCCAGTGTTAATTATCTTATTTTTTCTGCTATCCACCACTGTTATTGCCATGGTAACTCCAATAATTCCCCACCTTGCATCAGTGACCACTGTCATCTTTCCTATTGCAGCTACTACGTCGTACTGTAAAGTCTAAATCATCACCGAGGTCACATGAAAATAGGAGGGATGCGTTGCCGTGGTAACTTATTTCACCGCTGTCGCATTGCGCTTTCGCCGGGCAGTTTACCACTGCTTATAGTTTCTTTTGAACAAAAGAAACTATTAATAAATAAAGTAGTGATAGGGAATTTTAGCCGCTTTTGCATCCCTGAAGTAAAGAAACACAAAGGGCCCCCCCCCAAACAAGCAACGTAGCTTTCCACGCGCGTTGTATGGTGAGCGCAACAGGTTTTATGTATTACGCAGAACTGATGGACGATTGGTAGATCATATTCACACTGTGTTGTGGCATAGCTTATCGTTAGTCAGTGAAACCAAAACACTGTAGACTGTTAGGCCTACATGTATCACCATTCGTTACTGTGAAGGAGCTTAGGTCAGTATCAATCATGTCGGTCACTGTTGGTCATCTGGATTCATTCACTTACTGTGTTTTCACCTTGCTCTTGACCATCATAGCAGGCCACATTAGCGTTGGCAAGGAGACACGTGCTATATGAGGTAGTCCTGTCGATCGTTATCTGACATTTACGACGTGACGCGTTATAAAGGGAAAGGACACGCAATCTTACGGATGGTTTTTATGCCAAGTGTAGAATGTGTGAATTTTGTGTTCATCGAGGGCGGCCCGACTGTCAAACCTTCATTTTGACTACTGGTAAAGAGGCGATTTAGTCATCAAAGATAAACTTTAAGAAATGTTGAACTTTGGCATCAGTGTCCGTAACGTGTTCCAGCTTCAGACTCACAATATCGAGGGTGGTGAATTTTGTTTACTCACGTACGGTCAGTCGCCACATTTACCTCACAGTTGATATTCGTTTCTGAGTGAAGTTGTCCGCCGCTGATTCGCAATAAATTGATCTTTGCATTATCAGCCAAAATCATGAAGTTCTTTGAACGATTTAAGTGATTTGGCCTCATTCGTGTTTTTGTTAATCATTAGACACCGCCGTGTGAGAGAAATAGAGATGTTGTAGCAAGGAACTTCCTTGAAAGTGAACTGGTCTTGTCTTCGAGATATTATCAGATTCATCACATACTTTGGCCTTTTGCATCATTCAAAAGGCACCAGCAATTAATTGTTCTGAATTACATGGATCAATTGGAGCATGTTTATTATGTGAAGCCAGCGTATGCCTGAAAATGTGGGCAAAATATTTGGAGTGAAACACTGCACGTGGAAGAACAACAGCTGAAAAAAACAACTGTTGGTTTAAGGTATGTGTGAAATAGTTTTCTAAACTGATGTTACAGTTAAACATATCTATGCCATATATGTGAACATTAGTTTGTCATTTTTCTGCTCAAAATGACTAATATAGGTTAGTCATGTCTTGGTGACTTATTAAATCAAGACAGGACTAATATCTAGTCAACAGTGACTGACTTGGGTCAAATTTGACTATATTTGACTAATCTTTGATGAATAAATGTTAGTCATTGGCCTATCTGACTAATTTGAATTGGTCATTTTAGACATAGAGCTGGACTAAATCTTAATAATCAAATGACTAATTTTTGTTTACAGGTGGTGGTTAAAAAAATTTCGACTATTTAAACCATGTTGTTACAGTTTGTTCTCTCCAAAATTACTCAAATTAACGTCGTGTGAAATGGTGTGAATTTGTATAAATTGCTTCTTGCTGAAAGATTCACATTAGAATAGTGTTTTACACAGTAATGTGATGTTATTTGTTTCAGACATGGCTGGTAATGTACAAGTCAAGCAAAAGACGATGGTGAGCGTCAATCATCCTGTCATCTCAGCTTTCTCCGCCAAATGACTCCATCTTGGGCGTGTTGCTTGAATTCGTTGAGGGCGTCTAACGGCTTCTCATTTCGGCGTGTAGCTGTGTTCCTGATGGGTCACACTAATTGTGGCATTTAAACATAACTCTGCTCAAAAGCAGCGTTTCCTTATTTTTTGTCTCAATCTAATTTTAATAACTTTCAACCGTAAGGAATCAAGGCAGGTAACACTAATTATGAAGCTGTACACGTGGTATCTGGTGGGCTTGCTGGCTATTGTGACAGTCATCGGAATTCCAGGCAATATTTTGGTCCTTGCTGTGTACGCCAACAAGACTAAACGAACAGGGACGAGAATATTCATTCTTGGCTTAGCTGCCGTTGATTTATTCATTTGTGCACTGTCTGGCTACCGTTTGTATCTCTGGATACACGAAGAGTCTTTTTCTAGTGACTTCGTTTGCCGATTTTTCAGCTGGATAGGTTTGGCGAGTGAATTGTCTTCAGCATTTGTCACCACGGCGGTTGCAGTTGACCGATACTTGGCAATTTGTCGGCCCCACCTCGGCTGGATGACCCACAAGCGTGCTCAAGTCGTTTGTTTTGCTGGAATCATTGCCTCGACCACCCTAACTCTCCCCGCGGTAGCAGTGTACTTAGTATCTACTGATTCGCAAGGGAATAAGTCTTGTGAAATCACAGAAGCAGATGAATACCGTTATTGGGTCTATATTGCTTTGTTTGTCGTGGTTGTTGCATTTGCTCTGATGATGATTACAGCCCTTGCTATGTACCTGTTGATATATCGTGAGGTCCGGAAACGACTGAAAGTCCGACCATCCATTATCAACGTTGCCCCAGCAGAGAAGTCCGGCGATAAAGAAGGAGCACCCCGCGCAACTCTTCTTATTAGTATGCTAGTCGCAGGAGATTCTATGATAGGCATTTCTCTCCCTTCAAGAGGGTTTGCTGTTCGTCGGCATAGTATTGGGGAAGCTGAAGGAATTTCGCAGAAATTTCCTAAATCACAGATGCGAAAGACGTCTGGCTCACCTGTCGCAATTCGTCGGAACATCAGAGAAAAATCGGACGTGAAAGAAAATTTAAAAAATACAAAGGCTTGTCCAACTGACTGCCAAGACTATAGGAAGATTGCTCTAGCGACCTTAGTGTCATCTAGTGAGGACACAGGATCTGGTGGCCCTAAAACAAAATTGACTGGGGACAAGCACGACGAGCCTATTGACCAAGCCATCAAGAAAGGTAAAAAGAGCAAAACAGGTAAGATGTTGCTCCTAGCAACGGTTGTCTTCGTGGTAACTTGGTCTGCTCGTTTACTTATGTGGTTGATATCTTACACGTTGGGTGAGAAATGGAAAGACTTTAAGCACAATGACGATGTTGCATTTGCATTTTTGAGTCTACTTCAGCATTTGTACTATACTACACCAGCCGTTAACCCTGCCATTTACAGCTTTGTCAACGACAGATTTAGAGTGGAATCTTTCAAAATTATCCGGAAGATGAATTGTTTCCGACGGGAAAATACAATGTGATTGCAGTTGACAAGATTGCAACAATGGTTGGAAACGTGCCGAGCCACACGTGACGCTCCAATTACCTTATGTTACTATAGCAACGGTAACTCTAATGAACGCATTGTTGTGGAACGTGCACAGAGGAATAATGATGTTTTTCTGTGGAATTTTACAACCCAGTCCCTCACAAAGATAACAAGGCGTCATTAAGACATGCAGCGTTATGTGTAGTCGAAGTGAAACAGTAATGCCATTCACATTTTAGCCTAGCCGACATGTTATTGGCAAACATTATACAAAGACCGGGGTGATGTTTGTACCACACGTATACAACTGTGGATTTTCAAATTAGGCATGTCGTGTAGAGAGTGCGTAGTTTTATTGCATATCGCAATTTGACAGAATCTGAGTGCGCATTTAGTTTTTCAATGGGTTTTGGTCATTGTAGACATTGTAATGTTTACAGAGCTTTTCCGGATATTTATCGTCCGCCTTTATTAGAATAGTTAACTTTACTCATTCTTGCTGTCTTGTGTAAAAAGCTGTGCAATGTCTTGCTACTTTTGGCAAGTCGTAGCTTTTTGAGATTTAAAATAAGCTGTTTGCGTCGACTGAATGCAATTAATAATTTACGATTTCCTCCCCGCTTATTGTCATTCTGCATCCGCGTGTTCAGCCAAACAACGGTAATCCTAAAGGCACGTATGCTACTTTTTGTTGATACGGGTGTCTTATATAGGAATGCCTGTTTCCTAAATAAGAACTGAAGTTTATTCTTTGATTACAATAGCTAACTGGAAGTGACAGTCAAACGAAAAAGTAATGAAGCAGGTAGGCCTATCTGATATACAAGTTATATTCTTGATATTGTGCAGGGAGGTATTGCTTAAAGTCGTACCGTAACAGTAACACAGATGACTTGGCGTATCACCCCCTTTCTTGTGATCTAGTATCTGGACAATTGTACTGTACATGTCTAGTGGTCTACTCCTATTTTAATGATTTTGTAAACTTGTGTCTAGCTCCAGTCTACACCAGCATCTTTGACGAGAAATGAAATTGACTGTAAAACATTTCTCTCATTACCCCCCCCCAAAAAAGTCTCAAGGGCATGCCCCAGTTTAGCCCCCCCTCCCATATGGCCTTGTTTACTTAAAATAGCGAAAACTGCAAACCCAAAAGGATGGAATTGTTTACCATTGTGTTTGTAAGGAATAACAGTGATCAGTACACTATACGATGCAGCTGTATTAATGTTGAATTCATTAATTCAAAGCGCCCAGGCCGTGGAAAATGTTTTATCTGCAACACGTGTGACAAATTTTGTGAAAATCTGTGTCTAAAAAGATAGATACTAGATATATTAGCAACCGTTATATTTTGGCTGCAGATGCAGCTTTTAAACATTGCTTATCGTTTGATTTGTGTTTTTAATGACTATTCAGACTTTTGATTTATCTAAGATGTTATTACTATTTCAGTATAAAATGCATCGTGCCTTTAGTTATGCTATATGCATGCAATATACTTTTGGATTAAAATAAATACATCATAATTGTTTTTACGATTGGAATTCATGGTACTGGGAATTTGGATATTATGATCAGCCCCTCTTCGGTGATGTATTTGTCGAGTTGGTGTTCCGTCGCTCGCGCACATGGGTAGGCCCTTATCGACTCATGCGGTCCTCGAATTTGTAATTAATTTCCGCTGTTTCTATGGACATTACCAACACAAGGGCACAGGACCCATCACTTAATGACTAGAAAAAAGGATAGGACAGCGTGCGTCGTCACTGATGACTGTTGTCGAATGCTAGCTTTCAAGGGGACTTCAGTTTCGGTTGATGAAAAACTAGAGATCACAGAAAAGGCCTTGAGGCACAATCGATTACAAGAACATGTAACAAATCCTATGTGTTAATCTTAGCTTGGTTAATGAATGCAACCTAAAGATAGTTGTAAACGCCCATAACTGAGAACAGTTCCAACGTGTTATTCCCGTGTGAATGCGCCTCCCTATTCCCCACTATCCAGGGATAGGCCTAGGTATGATAATCATGTTGAAAGCTTTCCAGTGTAAAGACTGGACATGACTCGTTATTACCCTCATTGTTTTTGTTAATGAGTGTAGCTAGATTGGCGCCTAATAGACTGCTAGACAGTAAATTTGCTTCTCTATGTTCTTTTGTATGAGACACGTGTTTTGGTCCATTCCAATACTAACAGAACAAATTTATGATCACTTCATTCTCATCACGCCCATACATCTGACATATTAGCCCAATCTATCGCTTGGTGATATGCACTGGAACATTCCAGTTTCAGTTAATATTAACAAGCTTATCTGAGTACGACAATTACAATTTTAATCCTTTGTGATAAAGTTGCATAAAAATTTAATACCGACTAGAAAACTTTCACAGCTTGGGGTGTTATTGATAAAAACTATGCTCAGTTCGGACTTGGTGTGATCTTGTTTAATCAAAAGGATGCCATACGGTTTTTAAATGTAATTTGACCCCCTCATTGCTCCTTAGGCCTTGTGTTGATTTGGGCAAATAATTTATCTACAGCACACATTTCTCTCGAGCATTATTATTGTGATGCGCACACGATCTCACTGAGTCAATTATAATCTCAGACTGAGCATCCTGACGTGCTCTTCAACTCCTCCAAACTCATCTGATCAAAGACAGAACAGTGATGCCAGTAGTGCTTAGTCAATCAGTCCATCGATCACATTGTCCTCGTTGTAAGAGGTTTGTACTTTCATGGAAAGGGCCGATGTATTTTAGCATATAACTGCATTTCGCTTGGGCAGGCGGGCGGGATCAACTAGCTTTTCGACAAATACTTTTCATTTCGGGTTTTTATTTAACACAGGCTATGGCCTCCTTTTTCTCTCCCCATGACTAGAATGAATTCAAACGCACGATAAAAAAAATCGCAAAGTGGCGAGGGATGGGGCGCATGCTCCAACCGGCCGCGGGTGCAGTGTGCACCCGATTTGAAATATCGAAATTAGCACAGTTTGTTTGTGTTAGGCATTGTCGGTCGATCTTCACGATCGCCCAATCGCTCTATGCAATTGATCGATCCCTGCATGAAACTTGAACATTCCTACTTTTGAAACAATCTTATACAACCTTGAATTAGCGACTGCCTAATGGCGGAATTATCGACAAAATGTACCGTTAAAGATCGGGCGATCGGACATTTATCAAAAGATGGTGCATTTAGAGCCCAAATTCATTCAATTTCGCTTGTCAGAACTGAGTGCCCCAATGTAATTATAAGTTCTACACAAATCCTGCTCAACATTTACGCTCCTGCCCCATTTGTATCCTTTACACTATTATTATTCACATTTGATTAAAAATAAATAAATAGGATAGCAAAGATCGCGCCCCTTTGTAATACCAACAAATATTTGGCTGCCGACTAAAAGGCTTTGTTAATACAAATGACAAAGAGCTTCATGGTACAATGTAGGTCCACTCATAATTATGATAATTACTTCGTGAATATATCTTTCCTAGGCCCAACGTTCATACTTATTACTTCAGCATGTTTTAATACCAATGAAGACAGCCTGAGGGCGATCGTGACCTTTCTGCTTTGTTACGGGTGGTCAGAATTTCGTAGGCATAACATATTGCAAGTCGTCGCGCCTTTGTGCGCGAAAGTATTGACAAGTCACTAATAGCGCGAGACAGCGACTCTGGTCAAGCATATAGTAATATACGCATTTAGAATTCTTGAGGAAACAATGTTATTGCAACTACTGCAGCGGCGAATCCAGCTTTTGGTGTCGGGGAGGGGGCAAATTAAAGTGAATGTGGCTTCAACATGATGTTTGGGGAGAACAAAATCAAAAGCCTTAAGATCTCGACATCCTTGCTTTTATTTGCTGGTGGTGTTTTCTAAGGATTTGGTGTTCATATTTGATAAATAAATATACGGATTACTTTCTTTCCTACTCACCTGTGACATATTCTTTGTTTAGGGGGAAATCCCCCCATGCGTCACTGAAAGGGCACAGTCCACTAATAGTATGCAAGCCCCATGCATTGAAAACAGTGTAAAATCAGCACTGTTCAGGGCCCAATAACATGCACGCCAACATCCCTGAGATTTCTAAATCACAAATGAAATTCTTGTCTGGTCACTAATCTTTCAATTTCTTTTCAATTTGTTGTGGGTTAACCAATTACTTTTTTAATTATTCCCACAAAACAAAATCACCCGCCCCCCCCCCAAAAAGTCATCTTTCGGAAGTCTGATTGCAGCTA